GTTTGCTGATGCGTTGTTACTATACGTTCATTAAAAGTAGCGACTCAGAAATTATTATCAATTGGCTCTTTATCCAATTTTCAATAGTTCACACTATTGCTTAGACTATGTCATCATAAATTAAATTAAATATTATTAATATAGCTTTTTTTATATTAAGTGTTTAACTTATGTTGGGTATTCTTGGGAGGGTTATTGATGGAATAAGCTCACCTCCTAGTCGTTGAACGTTCATATGAATAAAAAAATTCCTTTCGTATGTTTCGTTGCAAATTGTCTTATTTATTACGTAAGAGTTTCTTGCAATTTACCCAATTTTTCTGAATAATAAACCAACCCTTCATTTTTAAGGGAATTTATTAATACGGGGCTATTATGATGTTAACCCTTACTACTATAATAGATACTATTATTCTAATTTTTATTTTTATAAAATTATGCTTCAGATCTACCACTAAACCAATTTTATTTAATTCATTAATTCTTAGGATTAAGAAAAATGATAACACTACAAATACTCATTAATCGAACTTACAATTTAATTTTAAATACCAGTTTATATTAACCTTACTTTATAGAAGGGGGGTTAAATAAATAAATTGTATATATTTTTTTACCAATAAATTACTTCAGATTTATTTAATAAATCTATATACTCTTCTTTGCTTAAATTTCGCCTTTTACCTTTTTTATTAGCATTATACGCTAATTCCACTATTTCTAGCTTATCTTTTAAGCTTAAAGGTTTTATATTTCCTAAAATTATGCTTACTTTCCGGAAGATTTCATAGTGAATATATCTCTCAGAGAATAAATGATTTTTATCCATAAAAGGAATTAAATGCTCTAATATTTGATTTATATCATGAATATAGTAATAAGAATAAGTTTCTTTCTTTTTTTGGATTGAACCTATGTTATTAAATCTTTCTTTAACTTTTTCTAATAGAGGAATAGAAGAGGTATCAGCAGTAATACTAAAACCTGTTTTAATTCGACCATCTTTCTTAAAACTTACCCAAAATGACCCATCGCCATCTATTAATCCTGCGATAAAATCATCATTAATAGGTCTTTCAAATTGTAAACTATTAAAATTATAAGGTATTAAAGAGATAGGTTTATCCTTATCATTATAGTCTAATACTGAATAAATCTCTTGTATTCTTTCAGATTTTCTAAAAGTACCTAAATTCATAGATAGAGCCATATTAATTAATTCTCTTAATCCTTCAATGTTTTTATCTTTATTATTTTCTAAACCTTCAATTATCTTAATTAATAAAGTAAAAGCATGTAATTTAGCGCAAAATAAAGGGTATTTTTCAAAGTGAGGTATTATTATCTTTTTTAAGTCTTCTCTAATAGTTACTATAAAACTTGCAGTATTATTAGTTAAACTTATATTAATTCTTCCACAATTAAAAAAAGATTGAATCTCATCTAATACAAACTTAGAGGATAAATCAGTAGTAATTGTAAAATTAGGAATTAAATATATTTTTTTATTAGACTTAGAATTAGATATAGACAATCCACAGCTAAATGATCCATCACTTTGAGTTAATCCACTTATATAGCCTGGAGATATTAAAAAAAAAAATAAAATTTTGGTTCATGATAATTGTTATATTTGTAGCTTTTTAAATTTGTTTATTATATTTTTTATCTTTAAACATTTATTAATTTTAACTGTTTTACTAAAGGATAGGGTGCTAGCCTTCTTTAGTGGTTAAGAACTTTATAATTCTAGGTTGAACCAACGACCTCCTAGTTACTAATCAATAAGTGAAAGTACATTTAAAGAAAATTTATTTGTTTGTACTTTAAAACACTAACTACTCTCATAGTTAAAAGACTATTTCATATTTCTATTTTAGAATTCTACAATATTAGTCGTTGAAGAAATAAATTTCTTGCAGATTACTTATGCATATGTTAAAATTTTTCTTAATAAAGAATTAACATTTTTAAAGTTTTCCTGCATACAATTAGTTTTATTATAATTGAGCCCGATAGTCATTCAGGCTCACTTTTCAGCTGCATTCAATATGCTACAACCTTAATTTCACTTAATAATCATTCGGGACCTTAAATTCATGCTCTCGACTGTTTTCGTCTTGACTACCCAACTTCGCATGAGCAGTCTGAAAATTTATCATCAATTTATGTTATTTCGAGTTTCACTTACATTGGTAAGATTTTCTAGGTCCCCTCAAACTTAACTAAGTAAATTTTTTTTATTTACTAGTTTTGTAACTGCCGTACTGTACCAGCATAAATTTAAATAAATGTCATACTTACATATGTTTCGTAGAAAACCAGCTATCACCCATATTTTTAATAAATAAACTCTTCTCTCAGTTTGCTTTAAATTATTTTTATTGTATAAAAATTTTAAAGTAGGGGTGAGATTAAAAATTTTATTGTGTATAAGATAAGATTAGAAAGAATATATCTTTTTATTAAATACTTTATTCTTTATCATTTATTTTATCAGAATCATTTTTGTCTAATAATTCTAAAATACGCTTTTTTCCTTTTAATGTCTTATATTCTCCAGTAGTATGAAGTACCATAGCTTCTTTAAAATTTTTATATTTTAATGCTTTAGAACCTAATAAACCGAAAGAATCAACTAAGGGTATAAAAATTAGTCTTAACATTTTATTACCTTCAATTTCATATCTGCACCAAGTTTTACTTTTAGCTTTAACATTTCCACAATTTAATCTAAATTTTATAGCATATAAGAGATCTATTTCTAATATATGTGTAGTAATATTAAAACCGAATCGAAGTTTTTGATTACCTCTTAAGCCAAAATAAAAAGAACCATCACCTTCTATAATCCCTATAATAAAATAAATATTTAGTGAATCATAGTTCACTATATTAGAGCATTTTTTTTCATGTTTAACTATTTCTAGTTTAACACTATTTATTATTTCTTCTTTATTTAAATTAAGTGTTTTCATTATTATATCTATTTCGGAGGTATTTCTATTAGTACCAGGATTAACTACACTCATTAAATATAGTACTTTGCCGATTAAAGTTGCCGGTTTTTTCTTAGAAACATAAGGATAAAGTAAAGAGAGAGCATGAATAAATTTTATAAAGACTAAATTTTTAGATCCAAAAAGTGGATATTTTAAAAAATGTGGTATTATAACATGCCATAAAGAATATACATCTGTTATTTCAAATTGACACATGTTTCGATTTTCTCTTATGCTTAATCTACCACAACCTAAATATGATTGAACTGATTTTAATAAAGGTAGAGAATCTATTTGTAATTCAATACTAAAATATACTCTTATAGAAATACCTAAACCATAATCTATTTTTACAATTTTTATTCCAAAAGAACCATCTGATTGAATTAAACCAGTTATTACCTAAGCAAATGGAAAAGAAGGAATTACAATTAGATTATTGGTATTAATTGTGCTTATATTTGTATTTATATTTGTAGTTTATTTAAGTTAAAATTTTGGTCCGCCCGGAGGGGGAATCTTTACTTTCTTTTTACTTATTTTTCTATTTTACAAAGATCTCGGGTTACTAGCCCTTCTTTGGTAACGATATACCGCACATAGTACTATCTAAATAAGTTAATATTCTCCTAGTTATTATTAAATAAATTTATGAATAAAGATTTAATTAGATCTAATATTTTATAGTACCTTAATTGAATACATTTTAATTGAGAAGTTTATTTATTAAATATAGACTCTATCTCATTTTTAATTAATTTAAAAATTTTGGCATTATTTTAGTCGTTGAAGTACTTTAAAAGTTACTTGCTGATTTTTAATTAAACATATGGCTATCTTTCAGCTTCAGGCTAAAGATCTGCTCATATCTATTTATTTAAAGTTCCAGCATATAGCCAAATTCACTTTACAAATGTGTAAAGTCCCCGTGTAATTGAGGTTAGATTTGCATTTCACAACTTTCCACAGCTCTTCGGAGAATTATGCAACATTCACCCGTTCGATCCTAAGTTATAATCTGGCCATAGAAAGATCACCTGGCTTCGGGTCTAATAAAAGTAACTTAACCCAACATTATCAATAAAAGTATGTTAAATTAAAATTTTACATTGGCCCGGAGGGTAAGAAGTAAAAATTATAAATATTTAAATTGATAATCCAGTCGCTTTCGCTAAGGTTTTTAACCTTGCTACTCTTATTAACTTGCTGACCCATTATGCAAAAGGTACGCCGTCATTTAAAAAAAATTTCGACTGCTTATAGAGCTACTATTAGAAAAATAGAAGAATTTCTTAGCTCTTCTATTTGGTGGTATTAAAACACTTTTTTTAACCTTAACTTTCCTTTACAGTACTATTGCACTATAGCTAAATTTATAATACTTAGCCTTAGAGGATGGTTCCCCTTTATTCCGACAAGTTTACTCTCATCGTACTTAAATAATAATTAAAATTTATTTACTACTGGAACTGTTTTTATTTACCAATTTTGTCAAGTTGCTTAATCTAAATAAAAAAATTTTAAATTTTAACTATAGTGATAGAAATAAAATTAATATTTTCATAATAGATTAATGAAATAGTTCGTAAATTTTTAATTATATAGGCTTATCCGATTTCACTCACCATTACTTTCGGAGTCTCGGTTGATTTCCTTTCCTTTCCTTAATAAAATGATTTACTTCAGGAAGTAAATTTAATCTCATTTTTTTACTTTATGAGTAAAGTTAAAAATTTTAGAATAAATCTAATTTGCTTTTTTTAAGTTTTCACTGCAGGGATATACCTTATATATTGAAAAATTTTTTCAAGGCGGTACTTTTTAGAGTAGACTTAACCCTCCCTCATTATAAATTTGCAAAGATTCTGTAATAGCCCCTTTAAATTACTAAATTTGATGTTAATATCATATCGTCATCTATTCTTTTATTTTTAGTTTTAATTTTTAAATTTTTATAAGAATAAATATTTTTACTTATATATTTTTCTTTCCGAAGGAAACCTTCTTCTGGAATCGAACCAAAATATGTATTTTAGAAGAATACTGTTCTACCATTGAACTAAGAAGATTTATTAATTATAATATATTTTTAGATTTAGAGTTAAGAGGGAATTGAACCCTTTATCTCAAATTTGCAATTTGATTCAGATACCTTTCTGTGCTTAACTCTATATTTATCTCTATTATTAGGCATTAAGAGGAATTGAACCTCTGTAAAAAGTATTAACAGTACTCCGCATAACCACTTTGCTATAATGCCTGAAGTTTATTATTTTATTTAGAATCTCTTATTATTTTCTTTTTTTCTTTCTTTTATAAATACTATAATTATAAAATTATTTTTAATCTTAAATAAATAAGGCTCTAATTTTTCTTTAAAAAGGGGTTATAATAAATAAAAATAAGAATTAAGTCTTGATTAAAATTAAAATTTTAAAAATAAATACAAAATTATAAAGATTTAAAATAAACATTTTACCTATTAATTATTTAAGATTTATTCTGATATAGAAGAATTAAAAATTAAAATTAAACTTGCAAAATAAATTATAAATAATCTTTCTATCTCTATCATTAATATATTTTCTAAAAACATAGGTGAAAAAACTAAAAATAGTAAAATAAGAAATCCTAAACATATATATAGAGAATAAGTTGTTACTAGACCTGTATCTAATTTAGCAATATTTTTACCTGTATTGATGAAAACATTAGATAATCCATAAGGTCCCATTATTTCTATTAATCCTTTATCTAAAAATTTTGAAATTATGTAACCTAATTTTAATCCTTTTAATATAAAATATTCATTATATAATATATCAAATAAAAATTTACTATTTAAGAAAGTGTAAATTTTTTTAGCAAGTGGACTTAATTTGATTTTTCCATATTTAAAAGTTTCAATTTTATTAATTTTTGAGTCAGTAATACTTATTATGAACTCAGGTGTCTTATGGTATAAAAATATACTAATTACGGCACCTAATAAAGAAAATATAGCAGGTAATAATTTAATTATCATTGCTAAACTAAATTCTGCTTCCACTAAAGTAATATGATCAGGTTTAATATAAATACTATTTTTTAAAAAATCTGAACCCATCCCTACAAATAAATCTGAAAAAATATAACCAAAAAAAATACTAAAGATAGCTAAGATACTTAAAGGAATAATCACACTTAAACTAGCCTCATGTGTATTTAAATAATCAATTTTTTTAGCATTAGGATAAGTTAAAAAGGTTAAAGAAATTAATCTAAAAGAATAAAAAGCAGTTAGACCTGCAGTTAAACTACCTAAAATATAAGCATAATAACCTGAAAATCCATATTGAGCATATCCTAATTCTATTATTAAATCTTTTGAATAGAAACCTGTTAGCCAAGGTGTCGCTAATAAGGATAGACTACCTATTAACATTATAGTATAAGTAAAAGGTAAAAAATTAATTAAACCTCCTAATCGTCTAATATCTTGTTGGTCAGCCATACTATGAATTACTGAACCTGCGGATAAGAAAAGTAACGCTTTGAAGACACTAATTTATTTTAAATAATCTCTATTTTAATTTTCCACTTCCTTTAGAACGTGGCCTTTTAATAAATTTACATATAGTATTAGATCTATATGGTTAATAAGCCCTAGTCCTAGAAGGCTTTATCCTTTTTATTAAGAGAAACTTATAAGGTCTCACCTTAACTTTTTTTATTTACATTAGTAGCCGAGTTGATAATATAATTTTCAAGGCATTGAGCACATAGTTTTAAATCCAGGCTCTTATATTCTAATCCTTTTGTAGGAGTAGAATCCGAGGCTTCATTTATAACTTTCTTAATAATATTCAAATTAAGATCATCTTCAGGCACAAAAATTAAAGAAAAAAATAAAGACTTACTTAGTAATATGTACTTATCCTCATTTTTACTAATAATAATACCACTATCCAACCAATTATTTCTAGATATGGTTCCTAATTGTATATTTTTATCGAGCTTATTTGACAATATGCGTGAACACTCTCTTTTACTTTCACAAATTGTACCTTCATAAGTATTAAGATCTATTAAAATTATAGAAGATTTAGCGTTAATAGCATAATTAGGATTTTTAGCTAAATAGTAATCACCTAATTCTGAAGAATATACACTCTCTTTATTAATATATGTAGCCATATTATCAGTTTTAACTTTTAGTTCCTTAGAGTTTAAGTTTAAAGATAATTTAGGGTTCAAATGTTTAAATATTAAAGGAGCAGTAGGTTTTTTAGCTATGACTGTTTCTTTATCTAGAGCATATATAAATATATTACCCGTCTCTAAAGAAGAAAGGTCTTTTGATAGTTTTAATTCCGGTCTACTTGCTTTTTTTGTCTTATAATATTCGATAGGACTCCCTTTAGGTATTACATTGTATTCTTGTACACTAACATTTAAAGTTAATGATCTAGCAAGAACAAAACTCTCTCTATTTAAATGATACTTTAAACCTTGGAGACTTAAACCTAATAATGAAGATAAACCGTTCATAGAATTAGATCCCGCAACTATATTATTAAACTCATCTTTAGCAATATATTTATGATAATTATATTTGTCCTTCGGCGACAGAGTTTTATCTTTTAGGAGATTATCTCCTAATACAACAGGATCAGATAATGAAGAACTATCCCAATTTAAAAAATTAAATACTACTTGATAGTTTTTATTTTTATTTCCATTAAGTTCTGGTTTATAATGATCAAAATAAGCTTGTTCTAGAACTCTAGGCATAAACTGAGTCAGTGCTATTAAAATTTGTATTTCTCCTTTAGAACAAATATAATTAGGATTAAGGGAAAAAACAACTTATAAAAATTAGGTGTTATCACTAGTGGGCCCCAAGTAAAACTTTTAATCCCTCCATTTTCTTGAGCAAATTTATGAAGATTTTCTTGAAGCCTATGATTATTAAAAGAGCTCATATGATCTTTTAACCTACGTTGAAAATTCATGGCTGAACCTAAAGCTATCTTTCCTGTGTCATGCCGAAAAAGATATAGACCTGCTTCATTAAAGTTATTCTTTAAACTAGGGGTTTTTTCATTATCTTCAGAAAAGAAAGGAGAATTTATATTATTTAAAGGTAATTTATATTCACACTGACTATATAACCTTCCATCTATTTCTTTACTTAGTACTAAGATAGGTAAATTATAATATTTTTTTATAATACAGAATAATCTATTCCCATTGGAAATACCTTTATAATTAGTCTCTGAATAATAGGTCCCTTCAAGCCCAAGATAAAGAGAATTTATCATAAATTTTAAACTTTCTAAAGCTAACTTACCTTGTTTAGATAATATGATTTCAGGTTTAATATCTTTGGTTGTTTGAAGTGTAATTAAAAAATGATTTAATACATTATGAGCTAAATTATTATTATTTCTAGTGTCACTATAATTTATAACGTGTAGTGAATTTATAAGAGGATATGGATACAGAGGGCTTTTTAATTTTCTAAGATAAAATAAAGTTAAGGTTCTACCTTTAGATATTTTACTATCACTATGACAATTTATAAAATTTTTAGAAGGTATAATTAGTTCTCTTTCTTTACTAATATTTATTTTTAAGATTAAGAGCAGAGAATTAAAAAGGCTAGCCTAATATTTTTAAAGGATAATTTTCTAAGTGTTCTAATACTAGGATCTGATGAACTAAAAATAGAGACACTAAAATAAATTAGTAGACTATATCATATTAAGTTATTTAATGCGCTATAATTTTTAAATAATTTAATCAGATCGTATAGTCGTTGAAGAAAAAATTTCTTGCTGGTTCTTTAATTAATAATGAGCCTATTTCTATAGATAAGGTATCCTAGAAAAATTTTTAAAGACTAGATTAATCTATTTTTAAAGATTATACTGCCCGAGAGGCTCTATAAAAAATAATAAAATTTTTACTTTGTAAGCCCTAAGTTATATTTTCATAGTGATTAATTGGAACCAATCTTTTAAAGCTTTTTATAAAATTATAAGAATATTAAGTAGGACTCCAAATGTTCTTTTAAAGTATTTATTATTTATATTAAAATTCCAGCCATATAGATCTGTTTTCTTTTAATAATTAGTCCAAATTATAAATCATGGGAAGAGAATAAATCATTATTAATAATTATTCAAATTATTGGAATAAAGATAAAAGGCTCTCTCTCTCAATATTAGTTTTTTTAAATAATATTATTTAAACTAAGTATCTTCAAAGGAAGAAAGCATGATTAATTACATGGAATAAACTCACATCGTATTTACTTAAACCTACAGCTAAAACCATATAACCTAATTGTGATATTGTACTGAAAGCTATTATTCTTTTAATATCATTTTGTACTAGACCACATAATGCTGCTATAAAAGCAGTAGTAGAACCTATTAAAGTTATTACTAATAAAGCAGTTGGACTATATTCTAATATAGGACTAGATCTTACTAATAAATATAATCCGGCAGTAACTAGAGTGCTAATCACTTTTTATAATATACTAATAAAGATTTAAAGATAGAAATACAAAGACACACCACTTATACTTTATCTTAACTAAGAAAGAACTTCTTAATTATTATAATTAATTAAAAGAGTTATGTAACTTATATAATAAATATCTAAAATTTTATAATGAACCTTCTTGCCGGGAGATATAACTTTTCTAATCTAATTAAGATATAATAAAATATCAAGAAGAATCTTAAGAATAAGCTAAAGTTTTAGGAATAACTAGTTAATTTATATTAATATATTATAAAAAGAATGGACTATGTCTTGCACCTTTAATATTATAAAAAAGTTAAAAAAAATAACAATTTTTTATTTTAATATCAGCTAAGGTAATTACGTATAATCTCTAAAGCCTGTGCTTTTAAGGGCCTGCAGATTATTTATAAATTCTTTTTAAGTTAATTATAACTAGAATGAAAGCTTTAATTTTTCTTATTTTAAATCTCCCTGCATATAGTAAAATTTTACAATTATCTTACGATAAAAGGCTGTCACTCTTTTTAATTTACTAATTTTTAATATATTT